TCTCCCACATAGGGTTCAAATTTCACACATCCAAATATAATTGCTAACGTAAGATCTGTTGTGAAGATGATATATATCTGCCAACCCCTTTTGGTACCTCACCCACAAAGGGTCACAATTTCTAATACTTATATTTGTCATAACTTGCAAAGTCGGCGATTCTTTACAACTTGCTATATACAAATATTTTTCTTAACCAGAAGTCTGAATATGTCATTCATCGGAATTTATGATTTCGCATAAAATTGGATATAAATGTTCGATTTCCTTCAAATTTTGCACATATCAATATATTTATCTGTATTAGATAAAGTATGAAAATAGAATACTTCGGTCCGCTTTATTTGTTACCTCACGTATATTTTCACATTTTCCAAAATTTTGCACATATCTCATATAGTTCAAATCTGGCATGTTGTAATATATAATAATTTATAACCTCGCCCATAACGGGTCAACAATTTGAATAATAACTAAAGGCTAGGGGTATAAATATGTCGGCAAAACCGACTGATACTATTTTACTTGGTTTCTTTGAATTTTTTTACGACCCGATTTTTCTGAAATACAATTGATAATCGGATATTCCATAAAGAAAATTTTACGAATAATATTATATTCTTAAAAAATATATATTATTTAAGGAATCTCCCATCTTCCGCACTCCCATAATAAATTCCACGAAGACCTCGTATGCTTTATTATGAATGCAAGAAGTAAGACAACAATAACAACAAACAATATCACTACAAACGACCGCCCGCAGTGTTATCAATCAGCGGCGGTGATAGTGACGATTCCACCACCGCTAAAAAATAAACACCAGCCAGGCAGCAGCAACAGCCAAGCACAATCCAGTCACAGCCACCACAGTCATCAGCATCGGCATCATTGTTTAACCCCAGGAAAAAGATGTGAATGTTATTCTTCTTCATCGGCATCGGAGCAAAATCTACACAAATAGAACTTGGAAAAAGATAATCATAAAAATAACAACAAAAATAAAACCTCTTCAGAGGCAATACCAGCATCCGCAGCATCATTGTCTCCTACAACTTTATAGTATGGTGCCCTAGACTTTAATCCACTGTTGTTTTAAACTCCACCATAAAAAAATATTCTATTGGTTCTAGTGAAAGAAGACAATGGGGGTGTGTTAGGAGGATAATGATCATTATGCATATCTTCATTATTATCTTTATTGAAATTGTCATCCATCTTTTTTACATCTTTGTTGATGTGGTGCTGTGTTTTCAAATACGATTTTTATGTCTTCCTTCACATTGCTTTCGTCTGCTTCTTCAATTGAACATTTGTTGAAGGTACATATTTTTGTCTTTTCTGTCTGTCTGTCTTTCTTTTTTGTAGTTGTTGTTTTTCTTTTACCGAGAACAGATAGCTAAAATTATGGATTCTTCTCTTAGGGGGCAAGAAACATGTGTTTTGTTTTATTTTTCTTTAAGAAGTCATAACTTAAGAGCTAATATCCAGACGTGTGCAGGGCTAATTTTAAAATGACACGAGGTGCTGGTGTAAGTTTCATTCATATTCATGTTTTAGTGATGTGGAATGGAAAACTCCACACATGGAATCGATACGGTTATGAAGAACAGGCTGCCAAGTGTCACATGCTGCTTTGGGATTTTAGAAAATAAAATTAAGGAAAATAGAAATTCTCTAACAAATCATGTTGTCAATACGATTTTATAAAGAAAATGTTCTTGTCGATAACCTTTTCGCGGAGAATGTTATTTTTGGTCGTATTTGCAATAAAAAGTGTAATTATCGATAACATTTCCTATATCGGATATATTTTCATTAAAACATTGTTATCGGATATATGTTCCATAGAAAACATTGTAATCGGAAATATTTTCTATAGAAAACTTTGTTATAGGAAATATTTTTTATAGAAAACATTGTTATCGGAAATATTTTCTATAGAAAACATTGTTATCGGAAATATTTTCTAGAGAAAACACTGTTATCGGAAATGTTTTCTATAGAAAACATTGCAATCGGAAATATTTTCGATAGAATACATTGTTATCGGAAATATTTTCTACAGAAAAAGTTGTTATAGGAAATATTTTCTATAGAAAAAGTTTTTTATAGGAAATATTTTTTATAGAAAACATTGTTATCGGATATATGTTCTACAGAAAACATTGTAATCGGAAATATTTTCTATAGAAAATTTGTTATAGGAAATATTTTTTATGGAAAACATTGTTTATCGGAAATATTTTCTAGAGAAAACACTGTTATCGGAAATGTTTTCTATAGAAAACATTGCAATCGGAAATATTTTCGATTGAAAACATTGATATCGGAAATATTTTCTATAGAAAACATTGATATCGGAAATATTTTCTATAGAAAACAATTGTTATAAGAAATATTTTCTATAGAAAAAGTTGTTTATAGGAAATATTTTTTATGGAAAATATTTTTTATAGAAAGCATTGCTATTGGAAATATGTTCTATAGAAAACATTGTTATCGGAAATATTTTCTATAGATAAAATTGTTATCGGAAATATTTTCTTTAGAAAACATTGTTATCGACAATTTTTTCCATAGAAAATATTGTTATCGACAATATCTTCCATAGAAAATATTGTTATCGAAAATATTTTCTATAGGACAGATTGTTATCGACAATATTTTCCAGAGAAATTATTATAATCGAAAATATTGTTATCGACAATATTTTCCATAGGAAACATTGTTATCGACAATATTTTCTATATGAAACATTCTTATCGACAATATTTTCTAATGGAAATATAGTTATCGAATGTATTTTCTATAGGAAATATAATTATCGACAATATATTCCCTAGAAAATGTTGTTATCGACAATATTTTCCATAGAAAATATATTAATCGATAATATTTTGCATAGAAAATATTGTTATCGATAATATTTTGCATAGAAAATATATTAACCGATAATAGTTTGCATAGAAAATATTGTTATCGATAATATTTTGCATAGAAAATATTGTTATCGATAATATTTTCCATAGAAAATATTGTTATTGATAATATTTATCATAGAAAATATTGTTATCGATAATATTTTCCATAGAAAATATTGTTATCGTTAATATTTTCCATAGAAAATATTGGTATCAATCATATTTTCCATAGAAAGTAGTGTTATTGGACAATATTTTCTATATGAAATATTATAATCGACAATATTTTCCATAGAAAATATTATAATCGACAATATTTTTTTATTGTTTATTTATTTTTTTTTTTATTTATTATTTATAATACGGTCTGAAGAAAATATGTTTATTGATCCTTTAATCCGTACTTTTTGCAAATCTTCCTATCCTAGAGTTTTTTTTAGCAAAGCATCATGTTGTCGCCTATAGTTTGCTTTCGATAAGAAGTTTCCCCATTTCCCCTCTACATGTTCAGTATTTTTCATTAACAATAATATCGACAATTTTTTGGACTCAATTTTACAAAGAATAACTAAATCAGTTTCGATTTTATATTGAAAATCTCGCTGTCGAAAAGATTTTCCACATATTTTCAGCTATCCTTGACGTTTCCTCTCAATTAAAATTTTAAACATATTCATTGAATTATATAAAACATTTCTCGGCTCATTTTCATTTGCTTTTTTGTACCACATTAAAGACCATTCTAATAATGTACAATGTGATTTGCATATTTTTAGGCTAAAATAAATTTTTCCTATGTCAAGGCTTATGATTTCACTCAAACGAGCTATCTATCTATCAGCAATCAAAAGCTAAAACTAAACATTTTTGTTCATGCCTTCATTTCGGGTTTAGAAAATTTATTCACTTATTTTCCTAACATTTATTCTGCAGCTACTGACTCAACCACCTAGTAATTTCTAATGTTCAGCCATGTGCAAATTTGAGGTTAGCATAATTTTACTAATGAATGAATATGCATAGTTTTAAAATATTTTTCAAATTAATGTATATATCAGATGTGCCACGAACTTTGGCAATGCATAATTTTTGGGGGAATTTTTGCAGCTACTCGTTCCTTTGCTTTTGGAATTTCCAAAAGCGCTTGACATTTTGCATTATAATAAAGCAAGTGGTGGTGGTGTTTCTTTACCATACTTATTAAAATAATTGCGAAAATTTATTGTTGTATAATTTGTTATGCTAATGTTTAAGTAGATAAATTAAGAGAGCAGAGAAACTGATTTTTGAGAGCAAATCTTTGGAATAAAAGATTTCAGTAGTCAAAAAATTAGTCTAGTTTATATGCCTCGTCACTATTTTGGTTATTTAGATAATAACCATTTTATTCTCATAGCCTACTTCTAGGTTAATTGGTAAAAAAATAAAACATCTTTGCAACATATGTTGAGGCTAAACATTAATTATTTTTTTCATTTTACTCTCATCAAAGGCTAAGCAATGTTGATACAAAAAACCATATATTGTAGCATACATTTAGGTCAACTAGCCAAGCAACAAATTAAATGCCTAGCAGTGTATCATGCATTTGTTTTTTATTTCTTTGCTTTTGTGGCCTACTTTTGGGGGCAATTTGTTCCACACAAAAAAAAAAACATCATAACATTTGTTTTTCTCAAGCCGGCATTTCATATTTTTAATTTCAAACAAATGATTTAAAAGCAAGAAAACGAAAAAGCAAACTAGGCAGCCACCAGATGACGCTGCTGCTGCGGTGGTGGTCGTTTGTTTGCCTTTTTTTGGAAAATATCCAACAGCATTAGCTAGCATAATTTCTCCTTTCAATTTTATGTAGTGGTGAAAAAAAAACTAAATTTTTCAAATATCTGCTGGAGATATGTATGAGAAATAATAGTCGTTTTACATTTTGTTTGCCTTCTATGTCTCGTTCTCGCGGTCCTCCCTGGAGCGCCCTGTGAGATTTCATTTATGACATTTTTTATTTAAATATTTTCCGCTTTTTTCTTTTACTCATGCTTTCTCGTTGTTTCCCCCTCTCTCTGTGTGTCGTTACAGTTTTGCGTGATGACTTTCGCCCACAGCCGAAGGATACACGTGTGGCCAAAGGAGAAACAGCATTGTTGGAATGTGGCCCACCAAAAGGTATTCCGGAGCCAACATTAATATGGATGAAGGTAAGTTTGTGCCCTAACATCTTTGGGTTTCCTGAAATGCCATTTTGTAATATCACATATATGAGACATTATTAAGTATATATTTGTAAATGTGTGTGTGGAGAGTACATACGTATATAAAAACAATAGCAGTTTATTCTTATGATGCGCACATTATCCCTTTTTCACTAACGAAATGGGATGCATGATTTCCCATTGCAGCCAACGCATATTCAAATCATGCATAAAATATTCACATTCACCAGGAAGTGAAATATACCATCTATGATACTTGGTATGAATCGTAAAGCTCAATCAAATCACACAAAATATTGCATATCTTCAGGAGCATAAGACTACCATTGAAAGGATTTAAAGAGAAAGCATATTTCCTTATATTTGTTAGAATCCGACAATAAATTTAATATTTATTCCAAAAATATTCCAAATATACTTTACTTTATTTATGTTTTACTCTCTCTCTCTCCCCCTCTCCCGCAAAATATGCAATAAAATTCTATACGTATGTATAGATTTTTGTTAACGACACCTGTGCCACCAGCAAGTGCCATGATAAGAAGAAGGTTGAGCGAAAAGGGATGGACGTTAGCCAAATGGAAATGTCATGCAAAATTTATTTCCAACAAATGGCGAAAATACAAAATGGAATGGAATTTGAATAATATTCCAATTGTTTGTTGCTTCACTTTTGAACGAAGCAGACTTAATATGGCATGGTTATGTCATGTTTGGGATGCTGAAGTGTAAAAAACAACAGGAAGAAATACAAAATTTAATAGGGGAAATAAATAAAATAACGATCCAAATGAATATGATATTTGGATACAATTTCTGCGAATTTCCCAAAAAAAAGTTATACTGATTTTTTTCGAAATTCCAAAAAATTACAGAGATATTGAAAACCCATTTTTCTTTTGAAAAATCTGAGTTTCAATTTCGGAGCTTGGATAAAAACAAAAATCAATTTCGATTTTACTAAAAAATACTTATTTTTCTCACAATTGGCATATCTTGAAAACGGATAGAGGCAACTTTAACGGCAAAAGTCTAGAAAATTTGAATTTTGACATATTTTTGAAAATAGATTTGCTTCCAAAATAATAAAAAGATATCGAAAGATTTAGAGGACACGAATAAGCACAAATCGCCTCAACTCAACTTTTCAAAACTTTCATATTTTTCGAAATTCTAAAATTGCATTTCTACCATTTTTTCGAAAAATTGCCATCGTTTCGAAAATCTTGGGGATATCGAAAAAATTTCCACAGAATACAGTTCAGCATAACATGTCATGCTTTTCGAAATTCGGAGCTTGCAATTCTTTCCGATTTTTTCGAATATTTTCGCCACTTTTTATTTTCGAATTTAGAAAAAAATGCCCAGTTGGACATAAGTCTATGTCTGAATAACTCTGTTTTTTTTTTACGAAATTCGAAAATTACGAATGGAAGACGAATGGAACGCATATTCAAATCATGCATAAAATATTCACATTCACCAGGAAGTGAAATATACCATCTATGATACTTGGTATGAATCGTAAAGCTCAATCAAATCACACAAAATATTGCATATCTTCAGGAGCATAAGACTACCATTGAAAGGATTTAAAGAGAAAGCATATTTCCTTATATTTGTTAGAATCCGACAATAAATTTAATATTTATTCCAAAAATATTCCAAATATACTTTACTTTATTTATGTTTTACTCTCTCTCTCTCCCCCTCTCCCGCAAAATATGCAATAAAATTCTATACGTATGTATAGATTTTTGTTAACGACACCTGTGCCACCAGCAAGTGCCATGATAAGAAGAAGGTTGAGCGAAAAGGGATGGACGTTAGCCAAATGGAAATGTCATGCAAAATTTATTTCCAACAAATGGCGAAAATACAAAATGGAATGGAATTTGAATAATATTCCAATTGTTTGTTGCTTCACTTTTGAACGAAGCAGACTTAATATGGCATGGTTATGTCATGTTTGGGATGCTGAAGTGTAAAAAACAACAGGAAGAAATACAAAATTTAATAGGGGAAATAAATAAAATAACGATCCAAATGAATATGATATTTGGATACAATTTCTGCGAATTTCCCAAAAAAAAGTTATACTGATTTTTTTCGAAATTCCAAAAAATTACAGAGATATTGAAAACCCATTTTTCTTTTGAAAAATCTGAGTTTCAATTTCGGAGCTTGGATAAAAACAAAAATCAATTTCGATTTTACTAAAAAATACTTATTTTTCTCACAATTGGCATATCTTGAAAACGGATAGAGGCAACTTTAACGGCAAAAGTCTAGAAAATTTGAATTTTGACATATTTTTGAAAATAGATTTGCTTCCAAAATAATAAAAAGATATCGAAAGATTTAGAGGACACGAATAAGCACAAATCGCCTCAACTCAACTTTTCAAAACTTTCATATTTTTCGAAATTCTAAAATTGCATTTCTACCATTTTTTCGAAAAATTGCCATCGTTTCGAAAATCTTGGGGATATCGAAAAAATTTCCACAGAATACAGTTCAGCATAACATGTCATGCTTTTCGAAATTCGGAGCTTGCAATTCTTTCCGATTTTTTCGAATATTTTCGCCACTTTTTATTTTCGAATTTAGAAAAAAATGCCCAGTTGGACATAAGTCTATGTCTGAATAACTCTGTTTTTTTTTTACGAAATTCGAAAATTACGAATGGAAGAGAGGGTGCTATTATCGGTATCGGCTTTTTACAGAATACCACACTTCTTCTCATAGAAGCCCATTAGGCCCATCCAATCTAAGAAATTCCACTTTTCTTCTCGTTGAAGACAATTTGACTTCCTTAGGGAACCCCTACGACCCTTCCCATAGAACTTCATTTGGGTTCCCACGTATTTTGGGTCCTTTTATATACGACCTATATATTTTCACACAGAAATCCTTTGGGGTTATCACAGATAACCTTTTTGTTGGCTCAGAAAATATCTCTTATAGAAATCATATGGGTCTACAAAAAGAACGCCTACTCCTCATAATAGATCTAACTAGTCTTACACATAAAATACACATAAAATTACAAATGCCTTTTCTTTGACTTTGACGATTTTTGTCTTCTCACGTAAGATCTATGGATCTTTGCCAAAAGAACTAAGGGCTGTTTTACGGGAGACTTTTATAAATCTCCTAAAATACCTATTCGACTTCTTATAGAGGAGATATTGGGCTTTCTATAGAATACGTATTGGTATTTTCATAGAAGATATTTGGGTCTTTTGTAAGAAAAAAACCTATGGGTAACCTCACAAAATACCTATGGATCTTCTTCATGAGGACCTATGAATTTGCACACTGAAGAGTTAAGGATGTTCCTCCAAAGGACCTATGTATTTTCTTCCTTATGACCTATGTGATGTCTTTCTAAAGACTTGTGTAACTTCTCCCAGTGGAGCTGTTGGTCTTTTTCTTAAAGGCCAAGAAATCTTCTTCATAAGGACCTCACAAAATACCTCTGGAATTACGCATACAAGACCCATGGGTTTTCTTCTTGAACACCTATGATTTTTTTTTCTGATGATGTATGGATCTTCTCACAAAAGACCTATGGGTCTTCTTCCTAAAGCCCTGTAAATTTTCTCATAGAAGGTCTCCGCCTTTCCTGCCGTGGATGGCAATTAATCTTCTTATTGAGGGTCAAAAGAGTAATTTTGCCAGCAGTTTCTCCAATAGCAGACCCATTTGTCTCCCTGCGAGAAGACCTTCCGCTTCTCCCGGGAAGACCTTCTGTTCTTCATCGAGGTGAACCTCCTGCTGTTTTTTTAGATAGTCTTCTCTGAACAAATTCCTTGACAGAAGGCAAATGTTTCTTCTCATGGAAGAGCAACGATTCTTATCTCCCTCATGCAAGGGAATTGTAGGAGACTCCTCATAAAAGAAGAATGTGTCTTTCGTTTTTGTCTGTATAGTTTGTCTTTGGAAACTTAAGGGTGTTCTTAGAGAAGATATTTTTATCTTCTCATGGAAATTCTATGTTCTTTTGAGACGAGTAGGTTTGTTTCCTTCCAAAGCGGGACGCCTACTGCTCTTATATAAGAAAGGTTTTTGGTTTTCCTTCAGAAGGCCAATTGGATTCTGCTTCCTATATGAAGACAGTTTGATCTCTCGTAAAAATAATTTCTGGTGTCCCACACTTGTTCTGTTCTATTGAGTCAAAAGGAAAATATATCTTTTCATATATTTATAATGAAATCTTGAACATTTTATGAGACGACCCTATAAACATTAATAACTTGGTCCTGAGGCTATCTAGACGATGGTCTCTTTGTGAAAATCTTTTACTCTTTCATGATAAGAAAAAGAATCATTACGTTTTATAATAAAAAAATAAAATATTTGTTTGTGTAAAAAATTGTGTTTTTGAATGATTCCCAAAGCTTTACCCCAGAATATCAAACTAGATTTGCAAATACACCAGCTATTTGTTTCTCAATCCCTTTTTTGTAAAATCCAATTCTGAATACTTATGATGCATGACTTTTGAAATATGAAATTTTATAACTCTCGTAAGTGTAGCATACCAAAAACAAGCAGAACGTCAATATTTACCCACACAAACTCGCACTACAAATACATATTTATAAACATGTAAGCCATAAAAGATAAAACAATTTCTTTTCGTATACGATAACCCTAAACCATCTACTTATGTTTATCTTTTTTCTTTCTTTTTTCGCCTCTATTTGCCTCTTCTTTCGTTTCACAGGATGGCGTTCCTTTGGACGATTTAAAGACGAAATCTTATGGAACCACGTCACGTATACGCATTGTCGATGGTGGCAATTTATTGATAAGCAACGTTGAACCAATTGACGAGGGCAACTATAAGTGTATCGCTCAAAATATTGTCGGTACCCGAGAGTCCAGTTATGCTAAACTAATTGTAGAAGGTAAGTTGTTTTCAAACACACACACTCACACATGGCCATATGTATGTGCAGCCATCTCGTTTTGATTGAACGCCACAAGAGCGAACCTAACGTTTAGGGAATATTTTGACTTGCCCCAAAATATGAATGATACTTCTCGGAAATACTCGCACAAGTACAAGTTCAAGTTGTGTCGAACGTGATATGTTTACAAAGATGGGTCAATTGACTTGAGTGGTTGAAGTACTGACGTATTGACCATTATGATTTGATGGTAGGTAGTGGTGGGCAACCAACCTACCGGTCATTTGCTGACACATGTAAACGCACGGGAAGGTGGTTAACGGAAGCTGTTAACATTTATGATTTCAGTGGGAGAGATATATGAGATTGAGGGGAATGATATATGTAAGTGATGGATTGGTGGCTGAGCCAAACGTGCTAGGTATTTGTGATTTGCGAAGACGTCGAGGAGAATGAAAGGAAAATAAAAAAAAAAATAATGCTACCATTTTTTATGAGTTTTTCTCGGGTGGTGCGTATCTTTAGCGTGAAAATGTAATAGCATTGTGGAAATAGGTCCTTCTAAAAGAAAAGACTAGTAATAGACACATGTTTATTCTGGTAAAATGTAACGATTTCTTGTGGAAATACTTTTTCTCTCTATAAGATACATTTCTACATAAGAAGATCTTCCAGTGTTGTTCTAAATGAGAAGACCGTCTAGTCCTTCCAGTTCTCTTCTACATGAGAAGGTATGTTAATGTTCTTCTACTGCTCATCCACATGAAAAAACATTCTAGTGTTTTTCTAAAAAAAAATGTATCCTCTTGCCTTTCTATGTGAGAATATCTTTTTCAGCTCTTTTGTGTGAGAAGACTCTTCTTTGAAGAAGAGATCTATATGAGAAAAATTTATTCCACTCTTCAATATGAGAAAACCTGCTTCAGCTCTTCTATGTGAGAAGACCTGCTTCAGCTCTTCTATGTGAGAAGACCTGCTTCAGCTCTTCTATGTGAGAAGACCTGCTTCAGCTTTTCTGTGTGAAACTCACTTTTTTTTGCTGTAATCCGAGAAGTCGTGGTCGTCAACATAAGAAGACCTTCTGTTTTTTTTTTTTCAGAAAAAAACTTCTGCTCTTTTCCGGGAAGAGTTTCTGCCCTTATCCGAGTAGAACTTTTGCTCTTTTCCGAGAAGACCATCGGCTCTTCTCTGATAATACCTTTTTCTCTTCCGGCTGACGACCTTCTACTTTTCCTGAGGAGACAATGAGCTCTCCTCCGAGAACACCTTGAGATCTTCTCTAAAAGACAATGAACTCTTCTCTGAGAAGGCATTATGTTTTTCTCCAACAATACCTTCTGCTCTTCTTCGAAAAACGTTTATACTCTTTTTCGAGAGAACCTACTGCTCTTCTTCAAGAAATCTTTGTGTTGATCTCCGAGGGGATCATAAGTGAAGCTCTTCTCTAAGAAGAATTTGTGTTCTCCTATGATATGTTCAGCTTTTTAATAAGGAAAAGAGTGAAAAAAATAGTGAAAGAGATTTCAAACAAATATTTAATGGACAAGTTTTAAACTGTGAAATTTTTGAAATGTAAAATTTTAGACAGTTTTCTATGTGATCATGGCAAAAGATGGAATTCAAAAATATATATATATATTTTAAAATTCAACTTAGGAAAATAAAAAAAATCGTAAATAGTCTTAAAATGTTCCTAAATAATTTAAGAAGTTCTCATTTCAATCTGCGTTTTATTCTATTCTTTGGCATGCTGCTCTTCTTTGGGACCGGATGTTTCGATAGTCTAGGGGCCATGAAAGATCTACTGTGATCCTCATCTAGAAGTTCTACTGCCAACTTATACAAAAGGCATTTTTTATTCTCTCAAAGAGAATATTACGTTGTTAAATAGTGTTTCTGTAACATGTTATGTCAATTCAAAAACTTTGCATACTTTTAGAATAGTTACAGATTTTCCCTTAAACAATTCAGGCTTCCAATATACTATTTCAAACATTGTAGAATCATTACAAGTTTCTTTGAATTTAAGTTAAATTTTACTGAGTCCTTCTTAAGAACAAAAAATACAATATTAAGTTAAAAGGTATTGCTTCAAAAACGTTGCAAACTTTTAGTATTTCCAAAAATTTTTTTTCTTTAATTAAAACTAATTGGCGATCATGAGAATAAACCAGCTAAAAATTACTTAAAATTACCCATAATAAAGACTATTCCCAAACAATTCCCATACAATGTCAGAACTCACATAAAATTTAACTACCGAAAATTTGAGGTTAACAAAAAGTGCAGACTCTTCGCCTAACAAGTATGGTGCACTTTGTGCACATATTTGCACAGTGCAGTGCTGGTGGTTTCTTCTTCTTTTCCTCGGCAAACATACAATGGAATTTCCCATCAAGTTGATAGGAAAATCAACTGAACAGTCAAATAAAAATCAAAACCATAACTAGCAAAAAAAAAAAAAAAAAATGCTCAAAAGAAAAAAGAACGAAAACAAACAAAAGAAGAAAAAAAATTTTAGACAACAACCCAAAGAAAAGAAGCACAGCTGGATTTCGCACGTTTTCTCTATATTTTACATTTGCTTGCTGGCGCGGCATCAGCATATAGAACTTAAAGACAAATATTCAACATTACGGGCAAACAAAAAAGTCAAGTGAATAAACAGTTATGGCGAATTTCGAAACCAAAATAGAGTAAAATTGCAATACCACGAACTGTTAAACAATCCAAATGTCACCAAATTATTTCCTTGTGGCAATAAAAGAATATTAACTCTCTCGTGCTATCCCTCTATATCTTGCTGAGTTGGTAAAATGCAAATGTGCATTGAATATCTTTTATGGCAATTTACCAATCTCAACCATAGATTTTTCCCTTCCCCTATTGAGTTTATCGTTGTATTTGTCTAATAATCGTAAATAATTTAAATTAATATCTAGGGAAATAAAATTTTACTATGGGAAAGACCGAGAGATAAGCGATAACAATCAATTTACGAATTCAACATTTAAACCTTCTTTAACGTTCTTCGAAATTAGCTTTGTCTTAGGAATGGTGACACTGTCTTGTGCTCCTAATTTTTCCAACAGATGTAACATTTTCCACATTTTCCCAAATATGAACTCTCTGATATATGATTGTTTATATCGCCAAGGAAACTTAAAAATCCAAAAACAACTACAAAAAATAAACAACCACAACAAATCTTAAAAATCGACATCAACATATCACCATCGTTCGGTCGCTCTCCATATGCTCATGGTATATTTATATAAGTTTACACTGTTGGATATCTAGCCAGCCATCTTTGCAATGTATCGCATAACTCCATGCATTCAAAGAGTCGTCGCATCCATTTCAAGTGGTTATGCTGGTGGTGGTGCATCATTGCTCCAAAAAAAAAAAGGAAGAGTTGAAAGTTTGGCGCCATCAGGGGAATTTTATACAAATATTTGTGATACGTTTTCCTTGGTTATTTCCAATATTTTTTGGCTTTATCCCCTCCTTCTTTCTTCTTCATCTTTTTTACCACAGAGCACAATAAAAGACTCAGTGAGTGATATGTTGACGATATCTTGTTGTGGTACTCGTTTGTACCAAGGCGTCGCCATTTAAAAAGACATTGGGAAAAATGTTATCACTTGCGACGACGATGACGACGACAACAACAAATGAAATGGAAAACTTTAAGCGCCATGGGTGTGGAAAAATCTTAACAAAAACAAAAGATATTTCACTTTTCTTTCTTTCAGGCGTTTGGGGTATATAATATCCATAGTACATGTTTTTTGTTTGTTCAATTACGAATATGTCAGTTTTTCCAGAGGTTTTATGTGTATTGTGTTGTTTCTCCTTTTCTGGTGGTTTATTTATGCAATAAAATTGTTTGATTTACACAGATTTTGCATGAACAGAAAATAAACAATAAAACAATAAACAATAACAAGGAGAAGAATAACAAACAAAATAATGGGTGGTTTAAATTTAAGGGAATATAAAAAAATGAGAAAGTTATCACTAGTCACATTATAAAATTATCATTAGCGATATATTTTGTGATAAAGTTGTATCTTTTAATGCGGAAAATTAAAATTTTCTAAAGAAAAATTACCACCAGGGATTTTCTCCAAAAAAAAAAATGATCATCACTGATATTTTTCTATTAGAAAATTATCACCAGTCATATTTTCCATGAGAAAATTATCATCAGTTATATTTTTCTATGAGAAAATTATCACCAGTGATATTTTTCTACGAGAAACTTTTTACCAGTGATATTTTTCTATGAGAAATTTTTTACCAGTGTTATTTTTCTATGAGAAAATTATCACCAGTGATATTATTCTATGAGAAAATTATCACCAGTGATATTTTTCTATGAGAAAATTATCACCAGTTATATTTTTCTATTAGAAAATTATCACCAGTTATATTTTTCTATTAGAAAATTATCACCAGTTATATTTTTCTATTAGAAAATTATCACCAGTTATATTTTTCTATTAGAAAATTATCACCAGTTATATTTTTCTATGAGAAAATTATCACCAGTGATATTTTTCTATGAGAAAATTATCACCAGTGATATTTTTCTATGAGCAAATTATCACCAGTGATATTTTTCTATGAGAAAATTATCACCAGTGATATTTTTCTATGAGAAAATTATCACCAGTTATATTTTTCTATTAGAAAATTATCACCAGTTATATTTTTCTATGAGAAAATTATCACCAGTGATATTTTTCTATGAGAAAATTATCACCAGTGATATTTTTCTATGAGCAAATTATCACCAGTGATATTTTTCTATGAGAAAATTATCACCAGTGATATTCTTCTATGAGAAAATTATCACCAGTGATATTTTTCTATGAGAAAATTATCACCAGTGATATTTTTCTATGAGAAAATCATCGCCAGTGATATTTTTTCATCAGTGATATTTATATGATAGTATCTATAAGAAAATTATCACCAGTGATATTTTCTGTAAGAAAATTATCCTCAATAATATTTTTCTATAGGAAAATTATCACCATGGCTATTTTTATACCCTCGGCCATATGGCTAGGGAGGGTATATACCATTTGATACGGTGAAAACGTGCCTAGTCGAAATAACGGTTTTAGAAAATATCTGTCCACTCCATCAAGTACCTCCCCCAAAAAGTGTCCAAATTTTTAATAATTACAACGCACATAAAATGTCATGTAACAGTCCCATTGACTTCAAATTTCAACTATCCCAATATTTTTATTAACCCAAGGTCTGGTGTTAAGATGTAATATATCGGTCCACTCCTTCTGGTAGGTCCCCCATAAATGATTGAAATTTTCAGAAAAAATATATTTTCTGCACAAAAAAAAAAAAAACACGACAATCCAATTTTGCTCTAACTTTGCAAATCCTAACATTCGCGTTAGTGCTAGATCTGGTTCGGAAATGGACAATATCAGTCCACTCTATCAAGTACTTCCCCCACAATGGGTCAAAATTTTGAATAACTACAACTCTTATAAAATGTGATGTAAGATTCCGATTGTCTTCAGATTTCACACATCCTACTATTTTTATGAACCCAAGATCTGGTAGTAAGACGGAACATAGCGGTCCACTCCTTCTGGTACCTCCCCCACAAAAGGTCGAAATTCCGAATATCCATTGAGCTCATAAGACGCGAAATTAACATCCGATTCCATTTAGACTTGGCACGTCTGAATATTTCTATCAACACAGGATCTGTTATAAAGACGGTAAAGAGCGGACCATTCTCTGGTTCGTACCCTGCAAAGTGTCAAAGATTTGAATGACCAAAACATTTACAAAATCCGAAATAATCATCAGGTTCTCTTTATATTTAATACATACAAACATTTTTGCTAACACAAGATCTGGGAAGATGGGATATATCGGCCCTCTCCTTCTGGTACCACCCCACAAAGGCTCAAAATTTTGTATATCCATAATGCTCATAAAAAGCGAAATCAACATCCGATTCCATTCCAGACTTGGTACATCGCAATATTTCCATCAACACAAGATCTGTTATAAAGATTGGAGAGAGATCGGATCATTTATTTTGCTACCTGCCCCACATAGGGTTCAAGATTTTGAAAAGCAAGCGAAGTAAGCATCCAACTCTCCTCAAATTTCACACATACAAACATTTTTGTTAACACAAGATCTGTTGTGAAGATGCTATATATCTGCGAACCCCTTCTGGTACCTCACCCACAAAGGGTAACAATTTTCAATACTTTTATCTGTCATAAATTGCGAAACAACTCAGCGATTCTTTACAACTTGCTATATCTAAATATATGTATCTCAACCAGAATCCTGAGATGAATATGGAATTTATAATTTCGCATAAAATTGGATAAAAAAATTTGATTCTCTTATAATTTTGGCCATACCAATATTTTTATCTATTAGATGAAGCATGAAAATGGAATACTCCAGTCGACAGAGTAACAGAAGTCAAAATATTTTTAAATAATCGAACATTGGCTGAGGGCATAAATCTGTCGGCAAAACCGACCGATACTTTTTTAATTGTTCTATAAGAAAATGAAAAAGAAAAAAATCTCACTTATGAATTTTTTTCTCGCTTTTCTCCTCCTTCTTTAAAAATATCCCCGTTCCATTTGCATACAGCATGATGTGTAAAATGGGCCTTAGAAAATAGTTACTGGGCATAGCTAACATTAAAAATATCACCAGCGATATTTTTCTTGGTCATCACAAAATTATGCAACATTTTTTGTATTTTGCTTTGTAAACCAAAACATCACCTGAACATTGTTTTCCTCATATCTCTTCTCAACAAGTTTTGACAAATTTTAAATGAAATTTTCTTTTTCTTTAGCATTGTTCGGAGAGTGTTAACAACAGCCGGATACAAAGTTTTAATGTTCTTAAAAAATTGTATCTGTTGACCAACCGACCACTTGTTCCGGTGACATAAACAAATACTTTCAACTTTGTTTTCTTCCCCTCTTTTGTTGCAACAACATTTCATTAAGGAAAACTATTTGTGTGGCATCTGTCTCCCATTCTCTTCTACTCCGCCAGGCAACTACGAGCAAAGTTTCTGCACATTTCCTGGCTTTTTTCTCGTCTTCTTTTTTGTTTCGCATAATAAAAATTTTAAAACAATAAGTCTTAGTAAGTCATTAGTCGTATAATTTTTGCAATCTTATTTTTCTCGTGGTCAGAGTTAGATGGCAGCTGGTTGTGTGGCTGCTCCTTGCCTTTGCTCGGAATTTCCCCCTTAGATGACCACAACTTGAGACTCATTTATTTCCTTAAACTTTGTATGTGTGTGGGAGAGTTTTTCTTCTCTCCCCATCCCAGCTGTAAGCAATAACCTGTCCAGCTGGACCATTGGGGAGTGCTGTATAAAAATTAAAAACAAGAAGCTGACAATGTTGAGGAAAAGTTTACGACTTTACCTTAAGCAATATTAACATTTCAAGTGTCATTCTATTTTTGTAAAACGACCAACCGACCGACGACCACCACAAGAGCCAAAAACTCTTCAACCCAGCTAAAGTATATACTTGTCCCAGGGCACAAGGCTTACAGAACTTTATTAATTTCAGAAACAAAAAAAATTCTTTAATTGCTCTTGTTTTATTCTCATCTCCTTCATTCTGTCGTTGCAGTTAAACCCTATTTTATGAAGAAACCCCAAGACTTAACCATGCTGGCTGGCCAAACGGCAACCTTTCATTGTTCAGTGGGTGGTGATCCACCACCCAAGATTTTGTGGAAAAAGGAGGAGGGTAATATACCAGTTTCCCGTGTCAGCATACAACCGGATGACAAAGGTTTAGAGATTTTCAACATTGTGCCCGAGGATGAGGGCACCTATGTGTGTGAGGCTCTCAATTCGGTGGGTCAGATTAGTGCCCGGGCCTCATTGACTGTGCATGGTAAGTTAAATGGCGGTTGGCCTTACTTGGCCTCTCCATCTACCTCACTATTAATTAATGTATTACTCTCGTTTTTCTTCTCGTTCCAGCACCACCCACCTTTATTGTCAAGCCCCAAGACAAAAAAGTCGGTCTGAATGGTGTCGCCCTATTCCCCTGTGTGGCCGATGGCAATCCACCACCTTCTGTGTTCTGGACCAAGGAGGGTTCCAGCACTCTTATGTTTCCCAACAACTCATATGGACATTTGCATGTTTCACTCGAAGGCACTCTCCAAATCAACGGAGTACAAAAGGATGATGCTGGCTATTATGTCTGTTCGGCCTTTAGTGTTGTCGATTCCACAACAATTCGAGCATTTTTACAGGTAAGCTGAAGAACGCTGTTGTTGTTGTTGTTGGCGTTAACAAGGCAACGATGATGGTTGTCAGGATCCTTTTAACAAACACATACAACCACACATACCGGGGAATAACAAACCAATACACTACCACACATTCTGTGAAGGCTTGTGTGGTGGTTTGGTTTTGCAAAAAAGCTTTTCTCATTTTCTTTGTATTAATTTAAATCTTACTTCAATCATTGCCATAGGTTACCTCTGTAGATGATACCCCACCGCCCATCATCCAAATTGGTCCTTCAAATCAAACTCTACCCAAGGGCAGTGTTGCCATGTTACCGTGCCGTGCTTCAGGACATCCAACACCACGCGTCAAGTGGTATCGTGATGGCACCACCCTACAAAGTGGTAATCGTTATACCATTGTTCAGGGTGGTTCTCTTAGGATTGATGGTAAGTAATGAATGGAAAACAAAGGGGACTGAGGGGAGATGAATTAAGTTTTTGTTAAAAACACAATTTTATAAAACTTGTTCTATGGATTAATTTTTTAAAAGACAAAATGTTTGAATGGTTGTATTTGTGTAAATTCCTTCAGAGCTTATTTTGCAATGCTGAATTTTTACTTGTGATAAAATACAATTTTCGCTATTACAAAATTATTGCTATTGATATTTTTTTTTTTGAGAAAACATTACCACCATTCTATAAGAAAAGTATAACTCACCAGTGGAAATAGTTGCCAGTGAAATTTTTATACCCTCAGCCATATGGCTACAGAGGGTATATATCATTTGATACGGCCAAAACGTGCCTCATCGAAATAACGGTATTAGCCCCTAGGTCTCTTTGGACCAAATCCGTTTCAGAACATTAGGAGTCGATCTAGCGATGTCCGTCCGTCCGTTCGGCTGATGCGCACGATAACACTCAAGGGGAGTATCCAATTTGATTCAAACTTGGTACATCGCAATATTATTATCAAAGTTAGATCGAGTTCGCAGGTGGCCGATATCGGTCCACTGCGTCTGCTACGTCCCCCACAAAATCTAAAAATATTCGAAGTACATAATTTACTGCACAGAAAGAAAAAGAATAATCCGATTTTGCCCCAATTTTGTAAAACCTAATATTTGCATCAGTGCTAGGTCATGTGCGAAAATGGACAATATGGGTCCAGTCCATCAAGAACCTCCCCCACAAAGGGTAAAAATTTTAAATAATTATAACTCTTATAACAGTGTTGGCATGTTTGTTTGGGATACCGTAGTATTTTGTTGTTGCAAAAATCGTCAAGGTTAATCTCTTTATTGTTGTTTTTTAAAAAAACATTTGTTTATTAGTGGAGAACTCTTATAAAATGTGATGTGAGAGCCCGATTGTCTTTAAATTACACACATCACAATATTTTTATTAAACCAAGGCCTGGTGCCAAGATAGAATACATCGTTCCACTCCTTCTGGTACATCCCCCACAAAGGTCGAAATTTAAAAAAAATATATTTTCTGCGCAGAAAGAGAAGCAATAATACGATTTTGCTCCAACTTTGCAAATCCTAATATTTGCGTCAGTTCTAAGTCAGGCGCAAAAATAGATAATATCGGTAAACTCCATCAAGTACCTCCCCACAAAGGGTAAACATTTTGAATAATTATAGCTCTTATAAAATGTGATGTGAGAATCCGGTTGTCTTCCCAATCCCAATAATTTTGTTAACCCAAGGTCTGGTGTGAAAATGGAATGTATCGGTCCACTCCTTCTGGTACCTCATCCACAAATTGTCGAAATTTCTAATATCCATTGAGCTCATAGAACGCGAAATTAATATCCGATTCCATTAAGACCTGGCACATCTGAATATTTCTATAAACACAGGATCTGTTATTAAAACGGTAGAGATCGGACCATTTCTTTTGGTACCTTCCCCACAAAGGGTCAAATTTTTATGTAAATAACCAAAACGTTTATAAAATCCGAAATAAGCATCAGATTCTCTTTATATTTCACAAATCCCATTATTTCCACTAACAAAAGATATGTTGTGAAGATGGGATATATCGGTCACTCCTTTTGGTATCTCCCCCACAAAGGGTCATAATTTTGAGTATCCATGAACTCATAAAGCGCGATATTAACATCAGATTCCATTCAGACTTGGCACATCTCAATATTTCCATCAACACAAGATCTGTTATAAAGATTGTAGAGGTCGGAAAATTTCTTCCAGTACCTCCCCCACATAGGGTTCAAGATTTTGAAAAACAAAACGCTGAAAGAAAGCGAAATAAGCATCCAGCTCTCTACAAATTTCACACATTCAAATATGTTTGCCAACGCAAGATCTGTTGTGAAGATGATATATATCTGCCAACCCCTCCTGGTACCTTACTCTTAACCAGAAATCTGATATGAATATGTTATTTATCGAAATTTATGATTTCGCATAAAAGTGAATATAAATGAGCGATTTTTTTCAAATTTTGCACATATCAATATTTATATTTGTATTGGATAAAGTATGAAAAAGGAATACTTTGATCCGCTATATCTGATACCTCACGCATATTTTCAAATTTTCCAAAAATTTGCACATATCTCATATAAAGTACAGGAAGTAGTCTATATAGGCAAAATCTGGGACATTGTAATATTTGTATCAGTCTTAAGTCAGATAAGAATTGTTCAATATTCTCCAACTGCTTTGGAACCTCCCCCATAAAGGGTCAACAGTTTGAATAATCATAACTCAAAACTGGGGGTATAAATCTGTCGGAAAACCCGACTGGTGCTATTTTATTTGTTTAGTAAAATTTTGTTACTAATGACATTTTCTAAACAAATATCACAAATAACATTTTCAAAAAAAATATCACTAAATATATTTTTATAGAAAAATTATAATCAATAATTCTTTTTAAGAATTCTAATTTAATTTTTTATGTCGCAATTTTTAACATCTAATTTTCATAAATTTCATCTCTTTTTCTCTATCTCCCAATTTTAGATCTCCAACTGAGCGATTCTGGCCTCTATACATGTACGGCTTCATCGGAAAGTGGTGAAACCTCTTGGTCGGCAACGTTAACGGTAAGTAACTGTTATGGAATATCAAAATAAAAATTTACTACAGCCATTATTATTAATTAGTAAACAGCAAATTACAACAAAAATATCAAAATTTTTATTGACATTTTGTTGTTGTTTGGCCCCTGATGTACGTATACACATACGCGAGGAAGTTGCCTGGCGTGGTGCACAAAATTTAATTAGTCGTAAATCCTTTTGGCATTTTTTTTATTATTGGTCGCCCCGGTTTTTCTTCTTTTATTTCGGGTTTTTTGTGGTGTGTTAAACATTTTGTTTTAGCGCTTGTAAATACTTGGAAACCAAATGAAATTGAATCATAAAAATGCTTGAAGAACAAAACATAAAATTTAGTGAAATGGAAAAACGATCTCTGTGTGTGTGTGTTTTGTTTCGGCGATTTGACTAATTAAATTTTCGGCGAAAAGCCACAACAATGAGGAGAAACCTCATAAAAGTCTTGCTTTTTGTGTCGGTTGAAACGATTTGAAGAAAAATTGAATTAGGTATAATTTTGTGTTTAACAAAACGTTCGTTGTAATGAAATTCAGGTTATGCCGGTGTTGCGGGTGTGTATATATACAGGGTGAGATAAAAAAACTGCAACCAACTTCAGACTGCTGTCATATCTAAGCCAATCGTCCGACAGCTGTTAAATTTATTCCAGTGATAGCTAATTATATTGTTTATAAGCGTACAAAAGCATTTTGGTGAGAGTTTTCCAGAATAACATTTATTCGTGATGGAATTCAAGCGTGATAGTGTGATTTCTTTAAATTTGGCTGGAAAACAACAAGTGGCTATCGTTAGAGCTCTCCAGAATTTAAATGTGAATAATTCTTTTGTGTCTCGTACCTTCCCTCGTTACCGTGATACTGGAAGCGTAACCCGTCGTCAAGTAACTGGACGGAAGAAAACAGCAACATCAGCAGAAATGGTTCGAAAAGTAAAAAAGCGAATTGCTCGAAAAATGGCTCGTGAGCTGAACATATCGCAATATTCCATTCGGTAAATATTGAAAAATGAGCTCAGGGTAAAGCCATTGAAATTCCAAAAAGTGCAAGAACTTACACCGCAACGGAAAGAAAATAGACTCAAAAGAGCTAAAGAGTTGCTTCGCTTGCCGAAAGTGGTGCTGCCGAATTTGGTTTTCTCCGATGAGAAAACATTCGTTGTCAAGCAGTTTGTAAACAAACAAAATGATCGTGTTTACTTGCCAAAGAGGTCAGCTGAAAATGTGCACCTTCGGTGGGCCACCAGAACTCAAGCGCCTGCCATGGTGATGGTGTGGGCCGCCATAATAGCCGATTGCCGACCGTGGCATCAGAATTAATGCCGAATATAATTGCGAAAATATTCTGGAGGGTGTATTAAAGCCTTGAGCATGCAAACATTTAGGCCGCAGACCTTGGACATTCCAACAGGACTCAGCACCATCGCACTCAGCAGGCGCCACCAAAGAATGGATACAAAATGAGGTTCCTCGCTTCATTTCCAGCGCACAATGGCCACCAAAATCTCCGGATAACAATCCGTTGGATTATTTTGGAAAGCAAGGTTGGCACTAAAAATTACCAAAGTATCGATCACCTCAAGAAGCGCTTCGCCGGAAATGGGCCAAAATACCGCAGAGGAACATTCGGGCAGCCTGTGACGGTTTCATTGGCCGTTTGAAGGCCATAATTCGTGCCAAAGGTGACCAATTCGAAAAAAATCTAAACTTATTCTAAAAATTGATGCTATTTCCGACATTTTTTGCTTTCATTCAATAAAATTTAAAAAAAAAAATTTAAAAATGATCAAAAAGGCATACAATTTGACATACAATTTGTTGCAGATTCCGTAAGAAATTTTAACGGATAATGCGTTTTTCATAAGAAACACAAAACGGATTACAAGGTTTGTAAGAGCAACATTATCGGTTAACGTTGATTTTGCTGACAATTCTGACTTAAAAAATGGATTTCATTGAGCATTCGGACTGATAACGTGCTTTTAATATCAAAATTTAACGGATGGCGTGGTTTTCATAAGAAAAATATTAAGAACCAATCTTGAAGAAAATCCTTGTTTTCAGAGGGAAACTCAAGGAAAAATATGGATTGTGCAGGATAAAATGAATGTATAGTAGGATTTCCACGACAAAACTTAACTCATAACGCGGTTTTCAAAATAAAATTATACGAATAATTCGATTTTCAAAATGCCTATTCATTCACATTTCATCAATGGGGGATTTCTAATTTTCCCATACTTCTGTTTATTTTTCAAGTAGAAATTCCTAACAACAAGAGCTATTTAGACATACAAAACATTGTTTTTTTTTCATATCTTAAAATTTGCATTTTAATTGTTGATGGCCCCAACAAGTCCAAGAGTTTAGAAAAAAGTCATATGTGGTAATTCAATTGCCCCCATCAAGTCGTGATAATAGATAAATGACCATATTTTCAATTGGATCGGGGCATGACAAGAGAAAATGAAAACAAACAATAAATTCTATGAGTGGTACCCCTTTCCATTACCCTATTCTGTGGCCTGGAGAAAATGACATAATTAACAAATTGACCTAAAATTTGTGCAAAGTCATTCTATGAGAATAGAGACCACCGCTGTGTTGGAACTCAAGTGGTTGTGGGAAGAATCATGGAAATCGAACGAAGAAGTTCCTCCAAGAGTGGGATTTTGTTTGTTGACTCTGTGGGCCAGACAAAAGGGACTTTTTGTTATTATTTGTCCGAGATTTTTTTTTTTCAAAAAAGCCAAAGCAAATAATTACAGACTTCCCCGGGAGTCTTATCAAGTTATTTGGAAACGTGTATTGGCATATTAATTAGGTAAAGCTTGGAAGCAGCATTATGTGAGTTTGTAATAAATATATCATTATTTTGTGCGTTCTGGTTGTCGTCGTTGTCTGTGTCTGCAGACCACCAACATAGCGAGGCGGCAATGCCATCTTTGTGCTTGACTAAATTTTGTCAAAAGAAATTTTAATGAAGTCCAGATGGAAAAGGAATTTTTAATTTAGATTTTTTAATAAAAAATTCAAAGCGGGCTTTTTTTTTTTGCTCATAAAAATTTCCATTTATATTGGCAATCTTCTCCTCCATTTTGTGTGGCCTTAATAATTTCCATGCATGTTTCATATTTTTCCATGCAAGTTTCATAAAATTTACCTTTACAAAATCAGGCCCACAATTTGTTTATCCTTTCATGTTTGATCTATGGCATACCTTCTCTTACTCTTCAACTAGTTTTTGGTTTTTTTCTCTGTCTCAGCTTTCAATTACCATAACCAACAGCCATTCAATTAATTATTTAACAAATAGAAGACCAAACAAAATCCAAAGGCTCCAAACAAAAAATATTGAGAAAATATTATGATTGATGTTCTTTCTGCAATAGCATGGCAAAGCATGAGGGAGGGGGAGAGAGAGGCAGTACAAAAAATATTATTTTAAACAAACTTGGTCTGTCGGTGTTAGCTCGGTTTGTTACATTCAAGTACCGATGCAGTAGTAGTCAATACTATTCAAGTTGCAAACATTCATGTATGGAGACAAGTGCACTCGGCATGACTCGCAGCCGTGTCTGAAAAAAAGTTTGTCTGTCCCCATTGGCGTCTGCAAGCAGCGCTTGCCTACCCTTCTTTGCAAAGCAAATGTTGCCGTCGATATGCGTAACTCTTGTACTTTGCACAATGAACCATTCATTCCGCCAGCCAGCCAGTCATCCATCCAACCATCCAATGAACCATTCAACAGCAAATAACATTCGTCTCAAACAACAACAACAACATCGAGAGCAACAACAACAACAAACATCAGCTATAAAAAGCCAATCTGTTATGTTGCGGTCATGATTGTTACAACCCTATCCAAAAGCTATAAAAACAAAATAAAAAATCCAATTCAGAAATTGTATCAACAAAAACAAGAGAGGTGGAAAGGAAGAATGCCGTACAGCGAGGGAGTGAGAGATCGAATCGGAGCCAGCCGCCTCAGCCACAAATATTGTGAACAAGAAAAATAGTGCCGTTTGTTACAGAAATTAATGACTCCGTTTTTTTTTGTTTGTTTGTAGCTGTGCTCCATCATTTTATGGCCAAGTTTCATTTTATAAATATTTGCATAGTCGGCATTACGCTGGAACAGTGGGGGCGAAAATGGTAAATGGGAAGAATGTATAAACCTCAAATTTTTGTAGAAAAAGTTAATTGTAGAATCACATAATTTCAAAACCTTCAGGTTTTCAGAGATAATGAATCCTTAATCCTTATTGTTTCTTTCGAGTAACATATTTTTGAAAGCTTTCAAGGAAGATTATTTTATTAAAGGGATTGTCAAAGCTTTCAAACATCAATATTTATGAGTATGATATTTAACGTTAAATAGGTGTCTTAAAAGTTTTTATCCAAAAGAAGAGCAGAAAAGCTTCCTTCAATTTCGATGACACAATCATGGTAAAAGAATACAGGTAGCAACAACGCTTGGGATCATTGATATGTCCAAAATTTTAAAATGTTTTCACAAAAATAAGTAGATTTTTATTTACTATCTTATACGACGGAAAATGGATATTGTTATAATATACATTTTTCAACATTTTTTACAAATTTCCATTTAAATACATAAATTTAGGGTTAGCTTTTTTTAAAATCCTTGGATATCGTAGCTTTTATTAGAAAAATAAGCGGATAACGCAGTTTTCAATATAGAAATCTGCTGATAAACTGGATTTCATTAGAATAATCTATGGATAACTAAGTTATCTGCAAAAATATGAATATAACCCAGTTTTCAAAATACACATTTATGGATAACCCGAATTTAATTTAAAAAAGTGTCAGTTGGTTTTGCCGACAGCCTTTATCCGTTTATTATTATTTAAAATGTTAAACATCTATAGGAGAGCTACCAATGGAATAGAACAATATTTTCCATTTCACTTATGACCTTAATCTGATATAATCATTGGAGATGATAACTTTGGATAATGTGTAT